AGAAAATGATGCCTGTCCTCAAAACGTCAACTAAATAGGGACATGACCATGATGATGATCGCAGCCCGGTAAGCCATGGTTCTTTTCAAACTGAGAGATATTCTTCATTGCCTTCATTCTACTGCAACTTTGAAATTAGAGTGTAGAAGAGTCCAGTCACAATACTAGCAGAATCAAAAAGTTGGGGAAAATTTAAGTCTGGTTCATAAACCGAGAGACTAACTCTTTGGTGATCCTTACTTTGACAGTCACAGTAATTAAAATGCATAGAGCAATGGCGGTTGCTCTACGGCTGAATGATTTTCGTAGCGATTTACCCTTCTCAAGTTCTGTATTAACTAACAGTCTAGTCTTCGGATCCTTTCTCGTATAGAATCTGGGATTTGTCGAAAAAATTTGGGAGCCACTCCAATAATCCTTCTGAAGAAAAGAGAGATCTTCAAGGTTCTCAAATCCTTTCTCTTACGAATATCCATGAGGTAGAGGGTGGGCCCGTTTTGTGTTGCCGCTGTGTGGCTTCAACGACGTGCTTGTCCTTGGAAAGGAGGGAGCGTTTTTCTGAAGGATAGTGGCGCCGAGTCAAGGCGGCTGTTGAACCTGTTTCCCTCGCCCCGAACAAGCGGCGCTTCGGAATAAGACGTTCTGGGTCTCACCACCACCACCGGATCTGTGAGGTAATCAAGCCCCAGCGGGGCAACGTCGTTGGCCTGCAACCGTCATTTCACATCTCGCTTTTAATCTGCTCCACGCGAATGTGGGAGGATCGCTTCGTCACAACAGTATGTGACGACTCAGATGATTTGAGAAAGTCATCAAAATGACATATTGGATCACGATGGAATGATTTCCAAAAGGAAATACATCACTTTTAAGATACGAGCAAAAGTTTTGGAGAGTTAGAATATGCTTAGAGTTCAGTTCTATCTATTCGAAACTTTTAGTTGTAGAGTTCTATTTATTTGAAGGAAACGGAGACTGTTGCAGCCAAAGAATGTAGCAACTATATTTTGTCCAATTGAAGCCGCATGGACGCTCATTGGACGATAAACCAGACGGACCCAAAAATCAAGTGGTCAAAGAAAATGTCTGGCGCATCAAAGTGTTTCTGGAACCCTCACAAAATGGAAACTCATACAGTGGTAATGGAGATTTTTTTATGATCCCTGAAAAGACCGCATGAGACGCCGTTGGGCTGAAAAGCAATTTAGGTAGGATGAGTGAGGACTCAAAAGCCGGTTCCGACTCCTATAGAGGCTCAATATGCCCAAAGTAGGAGGCCCTTACTGTCTCTGGAATCTCATTTTATTCGAAGTGGAGCCCATTTATTGCAATTTCAGCTGACTGATGGACCGTAACGCGAATGGCTCTGCAGTGACTGGAATCTCGTCCAGATGCACTCTCGTCATAAGAAGCTCTCCCAAAATTAGATATGAACAAAGTCATGGAAGGCCTTATACTCCAAGAGTCCCGCAGACCTTTTCTCTTTTGTTCGCCACCGATAAATAAAGGATAAAGTCTTTAGGCGTTGACCAATCATGCGTGAGGGATGTTTCTCTACATTCGTCTTCCATTCAGAGTCGCAGTGATGGAATGGGGCCTATATAGCGACTTGTGGAGGTCAGCCGATGTACAAGTCAGTACTTTATCTCCCAGACGAGTCTGGCACCAGTTTATCTACCCCGGAGATATGGACGGCCTGGTTGGCTCAGGCCTACATCGATCCAGGATTCGAACACGCGTAGCATGCGTGTGATAGTGCTTCAGTGCACTAGCCACTACACCACCTCCGCCTTCGCCACCGTGAGACTATTCTATAGTGACATCGTTGCCCCGTAACCAATAAATATGCACGAAATCATTGAATTGTATCTTTAAAGGCGATTGCTGGACGGCAAAGATGTTCTCTAGAACTTAAGAATTGTAAATACTCTCCAACTAGCGTGGTCATTAACAGTTTAGGTCCTCAGAGATCCGGAAGAGCTACGATTCCGCAACAGTCAATGGGTGCTAGGTCTTGAAGGAGAACCACTCCATTCCATCCCCTATTTTAGCCTTTCGAATATAGCCTCTTCACTATCAGTGAAACCCATCTTAATGAGGCTTCACCTGCCACTCTGGAGAACATCCATATTTTAACTCGAATTTATGAAGTACACCATCTGTTGATCAGTTCCAGCATCACCGCATGAAAAAAGAGGAATGAGCGATCAGATAAGACCATTTTTGCCCTCTCATTTTCTGGGTAGATCGCATCTCTCAACAATCCTTAAAGAAATCGTCTTGACAACAATTTACGGTGATGTGCACGACAGTGGGGCTATCTAGGAAACGTTGATCATCGAGATAACACGCACCGTTTTTTCGCACTCATCTCATTAATTTTGCCAATGGCTAAATGTCTGGCCTTTGCTTGGCTTATCTTGCAATGTCCAAAGAAATTGTCACTTCAAAAAGTGTTTCTAGATGTGCCCCTGGTCGTTGGGAAGGGACGATCCAACAATGAGCAATGTGCATTCCATTCGTGCTTTCACTGCAACACAACTTGTTGATTGAAAATCTTTTTGAAGTGTGGCAGAACCCTTCTAATGGTTGCAGCGGAACTGAAGTGGTCGATAAGAGGCAACCATGAAACTGAACAGTCTCTCGATGAAGGCCTTAGAATTTTTATGAGGATCCTTAAGCGGAAATCGCTGATCATCAGAGGACGTTCGAAGGGCCTAACCTTTCGCCCAAATGGTACTCCGTACCATTTTCTTGAAATGCACCACGCATTTCCCGTCTGCGGTTAAGTACATGCAGAAAAATCCGCAAAGCGCATCGCCAGCTCGTCAGTTATGTTAGAAATAGTGGTTTTCGCATTTGGAATCTTGGAATTGATTCTGGCCATGTGGAAGGCGTGATTTAATTAAACATCAACCCCATTTCGATTGTTTGTAGCAATACGCTGTGGACGAGCTCAAGGCTATGAAGAAGACGGGTTGAAACTAAAGTGGCTAAGGCTGTTCAACTAACAACAAAATATCGGAAAGACTGAGCACCATGATCAAGAAAAAGCTGTCAGACAAATGATATGATGCCGAAAAATTTCCCACAGAATTCAATTGGCAGGCCAACATTCCACCTCTCACAGGATACAAGGAGATTTATACAGAATACCGACTATTTATTCACAACCATGCAGGTACCTTACAAAAGTGCTAATGCAACCCTTTCAAGTGACTACTTGAAAGTGACTTCAAGCAATGCATCGTCAAAATAGTTCCATTAGAACTCAACAGAAAGTGCTTCCTGCTTTATAATTACCGTTCTAAACATGCTTCCCGTAAAAGGAAGTATGCAAGACACATCGTAAGCAACCGAGTGCAACCGAAGTTGGACGCTTGTCAAGGCTTTGGCAATGCTGAGGGAGTTGCCGGAGTAAGATTTTTTTGAGTCAGAACCAAAATGGGCTACCTGAGCTGTACGTTTATTAGAATCTTTCAGTACTTTACGGCAGTTGCAGGCGAACAGAGTAATCGAAACACGAAGGATGGTCCCGATATATTATGCCTAAATGTAGGGGCTATCATCTGTTTCTTATAAATGTTCCCGTTGTGAGAATACCACTGGCGTGAAGGCAGCACAGCACGCTTGCACGGTCCCAGGTCCAATTTTGAAGAGCCGCCCAATCAAGTTTTAGCGATGTTGGACTTGCGAACAAGGACGAATTGGAGTTTGTTAAGCGTGTGAACCATTGAGAGAGTTTTATAATAAACAGGCACGTTAAAGGTGATTTAGTGAATCCCGATACCACCCGTATGGACGGCAAGTAATAAAATCTAAACGTCTCTCAAATGACAATCGCTAGGTAACATGCGTTGCTTGTCGCATTCTCGTTGTTTGATTTTAAGTAAGTTGGGAAAAGCTAGTCACCAAGGCAGAACTGGCTCCAGACATTAAAATTCGCTAATCGTTTCTGATTCACGTCCGTCCGTTTCCTTGTTTCTGGAACACAAATGACGCATTTTACACTGCCGTCATTTTCTTTGACGAATCCATCTTTTTTCATTTGGTTGGTGACGACGTTTTGTACACCTTTTCACCTTTCGGTACGTAGGTGACCATGAAACGGAACCTCCCTCCCAGCATCTATTGGAATTAGTTTCGTTCTTCGTGGAGCGCCCAAAAAACGCCGCGCGCCAAGTGGCAATTAGACTATAAACGTTGCAACGAGCAAACCGGATCCCATCCTTAAGAAAAACAACTATCAAGCAATGGCCGCCTGGACGGGTGCTAAAAAGTGAGATCCATACTATAGATCCCAAACTGGAATTATACCCAAGGATAGGGACAGGTCAAAGAACTGACGAGTAGCCTCGGGGTACACCGTACACTTCTGATTCAATGAGCTCAGCTCTCGGAGAATCCGCGCACAGCTTCCAGAATCGGCTCTAATTAATATACAGTGTATCAGCCTGAAACCTTTGGGTCCACGGCAGAAGTTGAAAGATCTCTACCAAGCCAGTTAAGGGTAATGGAATCGGAGAAAAAGAGTGTAGGAGTACACGGTGACAAAATAAAGCGTCGCACAGACCGCTTCATTTGCAGTTACATGGCCATCGTAAGCCTGGCTACAGCTGAGTACAGCGGGAAGATCACAGACGACTAAGGGATTTCAAGGAAACTTTGTGCATAAGTCTACGGTAGGGACCAAAGCGTGACGCCTAGATTTCGATGTGGAGAACGCATGAAAGTAGGCTCTCCGTCCTGTTGATCCTAGAATCCATTGTTGGAGATGGTCCAATGCAAACATCACCCTTGAGGAGGTAAAAAAACGATTTGAATAGCATTGGAAACTCGTTGGGCCTTCTCTAGAGGGATCGAATGCAATGTGCGTCATTGGTTTCAACGTCGGCTATTCTGAATGCCAATCTATGGTGTAATTCGTGCGCTGAAGCAGGTCCTGGGCGGGCACACCATGGCCTATAAAAGAGAGAGAGAGGTGGTCGTAGACAACGGCGATGGACCTCGAAACGAGGGTCAAAGCCTATCGCTTCGTCGCCTATTCGGCTGTCACATTTTCCGTCGTCGCTGTGCTATCAGTATGTGTTACCCTGCCTATGGTTTACAATTATGTACACCATGTGAAAAGGACGATGCATAATGAGATCAACTTCTGTAAGGTGAGTATATGATCCGAGTTTTAGCCTTTTATTTAAAATCCTGGTGTTTTCTGAAATCATCATTACAGGGCTCAGCGAAGGATATCTGGACGGAAGTGCACAACTTGAAGAGCCTTCCTCTGCCTAACAATCGTACAGCTCGTCAAGCCGGATACGGAGATGCCGCTGTGACCGGTGGAGCCCAACAAGTAGGATCTTGCGAAGCTTGCTGCCTTCCAGGACCTCCTGGTCCAGCAGGTACACCCGGAAAGCCTGGTCGACCTGGCAAACCAGGTGCTCCAGGTTTACCCGGAAATCCTGGCCGACCGCCACAGCAGCCATGCGAGCCAATTACTCCTCCTCCATGTAAACCTTGTCCTCAAGGACCACCCGGACCACCCGGTCCTCCTGGTTTACCAGGAGATGCTGGACCACCAGGACAACCCGGACTTCCTGGTCAAGATGCGCCGCCAGGAGAACCTGGACCCAAGGGACCGCCAGGTCCCAGTGGAAATCCTGGACCTCCTGGAGCACCTGGAGAGCCCGGAATTCCTGCCCAATCAGAACCTCTCGTTCCCGGAGAGCCTGGCCCACCAGGAGAGCCAGGACCACAAGGTCCTCCCGGCCCTCCTGGACAACCTGGAAGCGACGGAGCACCTGGCCAACCAGGACCCAAAGGACCTAACGGTCCCGATGGACAGCCAGGAGCAGACGGAAATCCAGGAGCACCAGGACCTGCTGGACCTCCAGGTCAGCCAGGTGAACGCGGTATCTGTCCGAAGTACTGTGCGATTGACGGAGGAGTTTTCTTTGAGGATGGAACTCGGCGTTGATCTTCTGGTCTATACGAGACAAACTCGATCGTGTAGTCTTTTCAATAAAAGATTTTTCGCTTTTGTTGTGTTAGCCAAACATTCTTGACTTCAGTCACTTAATATCGTATATAATAGATTTGAAACCAGTTGATCACTAACAAAGTCTTTGAGCTCAATTCTGACAGGAAAATAGTTTAAAAAATCGGTTGGCCCGTTTGGAGAGGGTATCATCGCGTGATACCTGTCTGAAATGCAAAAAAAAGTCATTACAAAAATGGCTAGCCACTTCTTTTCTCATGAACTATTGAGAACATTCTAGGAAACGGATTCTTGAAAGATTTAGCCACCTCATTAAATCGTAAATCCTTTCTTACAAATTCAATTCTTGAAAGTCCAGCTCGGTTAGTAAAGGAAAAAGCAGGGTAAAACTATCAAACAAAGCTACCTGGTGATTGATTTACTCATCAGACGAATTGCTTCTTGGAAGTAGAATCATACTGTGCTCACATATGATCGAGTATAAACGCTAGCAACGCTCAGCTCATGCTCTTATGCTCCCCCTAAATGAGAGTAAGATATTATGTGTATAACTATGCGTAATCAATGAGGAACAAATAAGTAATTGACGGAATTCCACGAATAGTCTTCCAAGGGAAGAATGGAGTGATGCAGGCGACATTACTGTCTGTCATAACGAATTATATTTCGAGAAGTCTCTCCGAATTTCCTTCAGGGTCTATTCGTCACCCCCTTGTTTCCTTCTGCAGGTACGATGCAGGATAGAAGACATAGGACGAGATCTTCGGCGTTAATATTCCCGTTTTGGAGAGCACTCCCCCACTCGATACCCACGGAGAATCCGAGGGCGTTTGAAAATGATTATGCGGTTTATACAGTGAATTACGAATGTCATCCGGTGCACAAGCCAGCGCTTTTATTCTATTATATGAGGCCACCCTGGTACTGATTAGCCAGCATTAGAGGATGGAGGTTGCGGATGGCCTGGACGAGAACCGATCAGGGACAGCGTGTGTGTTAGTGCACTACTTACCACTAACCATAAACAATCTTTTCCGGTGTAGGGCAACTCTCGAAAACCTAGATTCCGGTCGAGAAAGTAGTGAAGGCTCACTCACATAGGTACAATATTGAGGACATCGTACACGTCGATAGTGTTTCACTCGCAATTTATGAACAGGTTCGGGGAATAGGGTTGAGTAAACACTAAAATTCACTCGTATTCCTTTGTTCAAAGTTGCTCTAACCGAACACCATTTAGGAGCATTCCCTTGTTTCTGGTTCAGGCACGGCTATAGAAAATTGGTTGTGTACAAGATTCCTAACGTCGGACAGCTTATGTTGTACAACGCTTTCGAGTTCCCGAAGGAGTTCCCGTCCCATGTGATGGGCGGAATCGCGTTACATTCACGTGAAGCCTCACACACAACGTCATAGTTCTTTGAAAAAAACTTGGGTCTTTTAGCGAAAAGAAATAACGGTCGGCAGGAATGCTGCTGTGATCGGGCAATTCTGCTCGAGCATATGAACAAGCTCGTATCAGCTGCTCAGAATTATAAGGATGATGCTCAGGACTTGCTCAATCGGTCGACCTTGTGGTGATGGAGGCCCAATGGAGAAATTCCAAGATGGGCCCAATATCTGCCTAAAGGCGTCAGTCTCTGAGATTCACATTGTCTGTCCTCTCAAGTTGATAGCCTGTTAGCACCTTACATAACCCTATGAGATTGCCACAGGGTTGAGCTAAAATGTGTCTGTTTTCTTTGTTCTAGATGAGAAGAGTTCCATGGAATCGATGCAAGATTCCCCACAAACCTGGCTCAAAGATGTTTATCCTATCCTTTTGTCTGTCAGAATAGCTAACAATATGGGAGGCAACCTCTTTCACTTTTACTTACTTTGAAAATAGCATGCAGCTGGGTTTACTTAAATTTAAGCAAGAAAAGAATCTGCTTTCAATGACTACCTTTGGATTGCCAAGCAAAAAAGTAACGGTTCAAATCTAGCACAATTGACGTTGCGAATACTGCCACCATGGAATGTGCCTTTCAAGAATCATGTCCTTGCTGTAATTTCACCCAAGCCTCAATTGCATATCGAAAACAGGCTCCAAACTGTCGCGATCATTACTCTCAGCTTGCCTCGAAAACACACCTCAAAAAGGCACAAATTGCGCAAGCGACAGCCTCAGGAATGCTAATTGCTCCCAAACTAGATAGTATAAAGGTAACACGAGACAATGGTTAACCATGGCTGGCACCGGGCGATTGATGATTCTTTCTTCTTCTCTGGTTTGTAGTTCGGAAGAAGTAGAACCAAGCCAGAGTAAAATTTTCGTCCGGGACACGATGGCCTTCGAGGAGGGCGTGAGCATTTTTAGCAAATTTGCAATGAGAGACCATGAGATTTTGTTCAAATGTCACAACCTATGTAAAGAGTTTGAGAGAGGAGGGCCCATTGCGCTATGCGGTCTCTCTCAGGTACAACGAGCAGCCATGAAACTGGTTTCCATGTCCTGGCCAATATTTTGAATGCCCTGTAAAAGTAGGACATTAGATAATTGGGGCGAGAGGTCTTCGCTGATCTGATCTTCTGCAGGACAGAAATTGCAAAATTCGCCTTTTTATTTGATCACACCCTAAAAATAACGGTGGTGTTCAACAATGGTGAGTAGTTGGTCGACAATCATCAAAGCGTTTCCCATCATTGAAGTGAGTCGCTCTGTAGGTTCTCAGTTTGGTTGAATGTGGATGTATTTTAGAATCGTTCCTTGAACACCCTAGTGGGATCATGTCCGGGGCTCTACGCCGCTGTTGGTCTCCATCTATTGTTGATCGTTCAGCTTCATTCTCACGATGATCCGCTCGCTCCATTTAGAATGAGAAAAAAGAACGTCTAGCGAGTAACCAGTCATTGAGGGAACCTGTATGTATCCTCGCAGAAGCTGGACAACAAGCAATAGTAACCGGGATTCTGCAAGGATACATACAGGTTCCTTGTTGCCGATGCTATGAGTGACTGTTACTTTTTGTTTTTATCTAGAGCTCATAACTTCCAGCTATGAGCTTGAGGTGTAAACAACAAGTAACAGTAACATATACTGGAAAATGATGTCAACTGCTCTTTGACTCTATTTTTCCTATTCGTTTGGTAAAGGCATCAATACAAAGGAATCAAAACCCTTTGAAAGAGGTTGCAACTAACATTCCAAAGAGTTTGCACAGTCTTCGGTTAAATCCAAGAAAATATGATATTTGAGAGAATAGTCTGAAATGGCAAACGTAACCTCTATCATTATCTTTCTCATCACCAAAAGGGGTGATGAGATACTGGGGTACCCAGTCATATTCAAGACTAGGCCAACTCTCGTTTTAACAGTTCCCTTGGTTGAGTTGACTCACCGTGATGATACAGTTCCTTCAACCAGTTTGAATTCATTTCTTTTAACAAGATAATTTACAACCTCATATTGGCAACACTGCAGAGACCTGATCATTCAAAATTTATGCAAACAGAAACCATTCGCTGTAGAAACGACAAGTACAGTACCTAATGACGTATTGAAAGCGTTGCCTCACGTCCTTTCCTCTCTGGATTTATGATTATTCGGAAATATCCAATGAACATGAACAAATCCACCCCTATCCCCCGCCTTTGATCTCCATCGTTCGCCACATTCATTTTCTTATACTTCAACTTGTCGAAAACTTTCTTCATCTGTTTTGGTCCAACTGATGGCTTCGACTTTTGGAACAAGTCTTTGAAAAACATGATTTGATCGTTCGGTTTCACCGCAGACTAGACTGTTCTTCGGTGTCAATGGGCCGAGATGACTGTGAACGAAAACAACGAGGGTTCAAGCGAATTCTCGAAATTCCCGAAATATGTAGTGAACTATATTTTTGGCACTTCCCTTTTTTTCCTTGCATTGCTTCCAGAGTTGTTGCCCACCACTCAAAAACCTCCCCTCACACCTCGTTTTTTTCTCCACGCTCAAGTACCATGAAATCAATCGGGTGAAAGTGCATGTATGAGTGGTGGTCGCCTTTTGAGCGATGAAAGAGAACGTGAAATGCCGATTGATAACTACACGAGCATGGCTGAAACGTTTACTACAAAAATTACCGAAATGATGTAACTTCTTACGGGAAATTAAAACAAAGGGAACCCATAACTAGTTATTACGCAATTTGTTGTACTGAGGAAAGAAATTCTTATGCTACAAGCATTCTATAAAGTATGATCTCAACAGCTTTACCAGATTTGTTATTGTTATTATGAAGTATTAGGGGCGAAGTGGCAAATGCGCACGGCAATGCATTACACGCGTGGTCACGGGTTCGGATTCCGGGTCGGTCGAATCCGCTTCGTCAAGTGGTACAGATTGATCTGGGAGGATAAAAGCACTGACTTGCACATGGCTGGCCACCGCAAGGTAGTAGAGACCATTTATTATTATTTATATTATCTATTATTTATAGTTATTGTATAGGCCTGTTATTAAATGCGCCACTAAGATTTTGAGTGGAAGTCAAATGCTTAGACGCAACTCTGACGTGGTTGGTTATGCCTTTTGAACAACACGATTTACCTGATTCTCTTGTCCACTAAAACCGATCCACTGATAAGCCTTTTGTGGGGGGAGGAGACGGTCGATTTATGAAGAGGCGAGCCATCTTTTCTTCATTTTGATTATTTGTCATTTTCCACTAGTTTCTTTTCACTACATTTTTTGTATGGATCAGAAGATAGTCTATCACAAAAGTATTGTAAGTTTGTTGGACGATGGTAGGACATTGCGAAAACGTCCACTTCGTTTATCTCACGTTAGCTTTTCGGAGTTTTCAAATGACAGTTTTGTAATAGGTACTGAGTACAACTCTGCAGTGAATGGACAATTTTTTAGGGCATTTTACTAGCGCAGGTTGGGTCTGTAGCAGTTTTAATGAAAACTGCAATGAAGACTTCTCGAACCATTTAATCAACCATTTCCAACTGCA